GACATGGACGCAGCGTGCGAGTCGGCGTCTTTGCTCGCTCAGGCGAGTGTCCCGCGCAAGCTGCCGCCCCTGGGACCGAACAAACTATACGCGCGACCACTGTACTCTTCGATGCGCGCGCGGAGTTACCGCAACATTGGCGCGTTCTCCCGGCGAAAGCTGATCAAGGGCAGCGAGAGCCCGTACTTTTTCGGTATGATACACAGGGTTGCGCCAGAGACCACAGTGTTGATGCTAAAGACGCCCATTGGCAACGGCATGGTTGCTGCGCACCCGGTGTCTGAGAGCACACCGTACTGCACGCCCGCCGAGTTTTTGCAGCACCGCGAAGAACTTGTTGCTGCGTTGCGCAAGCGCAAGGCGTCCGGCCGCCCCTATAAGGCCTCGGACGGATATCCGAGATTGCTACAGACGTACGATTATCGCCAGTGCTCGTTTTTGCTAGTGCGTTCAGGCAGTTACTCGCTGCAAAACCCGGTGGTGCGGACTACATTGCGGCCGCTCTACATCAACGACAATTCAGCGTTGCCGGTCTGCAGCTTCTATCTGGTGGGTCAGCTCGAGCCGGAAATCGAGATCCCGGTGCCAGAGGGCAAGAAGATCATCGAATGGCGGAAGCAGTGGGCTGAGGTGTACAGTTTGCGCATTGCGCTGAAAGGTATCACGGATTACTCAGAAAACCTAAGGCGGTGCTGTTCCTATTTCCAGGGGGTCTTCGACTCGCACACGTTGAGTAAGCTAATCCAGTTGCTGCGCGAGAGCTCGGTGCTGGACACGATCACCGATAGCGAAATTACGAAGCTCAGTGCCGGCGTCGCGGCGTGCGCAATTAAGCTCGTTGACGACGAAAGCATTTGCCGCATTTTGCCCCCAGTGAAGGTGTGCGGAATTGCTGCGTCGCTTTGGCGCGTCGCGAAGCTTTCGAGACTGGGCATGCGCTTCATTCGTTCCGCAGAGCGTCTTTCAATGTCGCGTCTGCTTATGTCTCTGCGCGAGTGGATCAGCGACGCGCAGTGGTGCCGCGCCTACGCAACGTGGACCGAGCACCGCAAGCGGCTGGCAGCTGTGAAGGCGCTCACGCCGATGAGCGAAGCGGAGCAACGATTGTTTTCGATGCCGTTTCTGTACCGCGGTCTCGACCCTGCGTTGCAGATCCGCAAGAGCGTTATTGCTCGATTAATCGAGGAGCAGATTTTCTTCACTCCCTGGCAGGAAGCGAAGAATTACTCGGAGGTTTTGTCGAAGAAGCACGCGCGCTTCTTGGAGTTTAGCACGTTTGAGCACAGCTTAGGACGCGGCGAGAACGTGTGCTACTACCGCGACGACATTTCCTCGACGATCACGCGTGAGAACACTATCCTCAACATTCGGGAACACATTCCGGACAGCATGAACATAAAGAATTTGTTAGATAAAGCGTTCGACCCGACGCGCATGGTGTACATCGAGCTGATGACGCGCGCTCTGGCGGACAGCGTGCCAACAAGTGAGATTCAAGAGTCGATGCTCGTAGCGGGTTTTTCTCCAGACTTCATCTACACGTTGTCACGCGCGGAGCTCGTTTCGATCCGCAGTCGCTTCGCGATCGTGTTGGGTCCGCGGCGGCAAATAAACGTGAGCTCGTTTGAGATGACGAGCGGGTTGAGGCACAGCCGGTACACGACGCTCGAGCGACAGTTTGAGTTTCTGCACGACGTGTGTCCCCCAGAGTCGGTGCGGGACCTTGGATGTATTTTCGAAGAGAATCGGCTGTCGAACGGGAACAAGGACAGCAATTTAGACCAAGCCATGGACGAAATTCTCAGAGGGTTTGACGATAGCTCAGAAGAAGAGGCGGAATCTGCTAACGCCAACAAGCAGGAGTGCCCCAAGGTGCGGAAACCACTGCGACAACGCGTGATCGATTTTCACTGGCAAATTCCCAAGATAATGAATCCGGAGTACAATGTAAGCAACATTCCGCGGTACCAGCGCATTGCGTTGAAAGCTTCTCAGGAATTTAACGTGCTGGCGGACGAGTATATGCAGAAACACGCGAAGCGACTGAGTAACCCTGACGGCATTCAGTGCGTATTCCCGATTTCATCTCCTGCGCGCCGCGCACACGTCGAGAACTGGATGCAGATGCTGAAGGATGGGGAGCTCAAGCGCATGCTGTTGTTGAACTCACACATCTCGGTGCCCGTGATGCGTTGGATTCGTCGCTGTCCGCTTAAGCACAGGCGTGACAAGATCGTGCTCATAGTCGGCGCAGAGGCGATCGTGCGCTTCATTGAGTGGCGTCGGAAGCGCGTGCAATCGAAATTCGCCTACACCACGTTCGCGGCAGGCGCCCCGTTCTTTCTAACGAGTCGTGAGGCCCGCGTGGATCCGACGACTGAGAACGCTGAGAAAAGCGAGATTTCGGATGTGCGCAGCGAGCGGCGTAGCCTGAAGTCGTTGCGCGCTCGCAAAGGAGCAAAGTCTGAAACGGATTACGACGGTTCTTCGAAGCGACGCGGTGCGGCGCAGATTGCTAACTCGGAGTCGGTGGAGCGCGTAAGCTACCGCTGCAGCAAGAAGAACATGCTGCGTACCATCGTGCGCAACTACCAGGGCGGCCGCGCGAAGGCCTTGGTCGCGCTGAACCAGACCATTATTTGCTTGCTGCGGCTAGTTTCGCAGATCGACAAACTGAAATGGTTCTACGACCGCGTCTCCGAGGAGAGCGCGCCGGGATACTACACTAAAATCACGCGACCTGTTTGGATTCGCATGATGTTGGAAAAGGCGCAAGCCACGCAGTACGAGAGCATCGACACATTCGTCGAGGACATTACGTTGCTGCGCGACAATTGCTTTACATACAACCCCGCGGGCCATTGGCTGCGGCCTTTGGCGATTGAGCTTTATGATACGATCATGTCGGAGTTGCGGTGCGAGCGCGTTTGGCTCAACCGGCTAGCGGTGGACATAGCGTCCGAGGCAGCAGAGCCGGCGAAACAAGTGTAGGGCGCAAAAAATATGCAGTGCGCTACTTTGCGGCGCGCCTATGTTTTCTCGGCTTTGTTTTTTTTCCGAGCTTCGCGTTTTTCCTGGAGCTTTTCTTCGGCAGTCGGCCGTTTTTTGTGGCGGATAAGGAATTCGCCGTCGACAGTTTCCATGATGTAGTCTTCGTAAACTTCTGGCGCGGCCGGGGCTGATGCAATTGCGTTGAAGGCTTCGATGACGGAGATTATAGCGTTGACTCGGGCGAGCCAACCGGTATCGACGTGACCGCGGACCAGGGTCAAGGTGCCTAGACTTGTAAAGACGTGAATTGAGTGCTTTTTTTGAGAGAGGCCGGTGACGATTGCGGCTTCGGGAAGGTAAGTCATGAGACTGAGGCTGTATGCAAAGCTACCATCTTCTGGCGACAAACAAAGCAGCACTGCATTTTGAAGTAAAAGGAAAAGACCTGACGGCCCTATGTGAAACGCAGGCGACGCAATCGGCGCAGGAAGCTCGTGCTTGATTGTTACGCCGTCCAGCTCTACGGTGAGCGCGCGTTTGTGCAGGTACAAGCTGAGAGAGCGCGATAGGTGCAAGAACGCTATACAGTCTAATTTGGATTTTTTGGTGTACGTGAACTCTTGCACTTCGGGCTGCAGTTGGTTCACGTCGGGGACCTTGGCTACGCCAACGAAACTGTCGTAGTAAACGAGGACGTTACGATAGTTACTGCCTTCAAGTTCAGTCGCTACGCAAGTACGCTGCCGACTAGTGATTGCCGCCGTTTCGAGAGTTGGATTGATCTCGTCAGATTCATCAACCGCCGAAGACTCCGTTTTTACGATATTTCTGGCGTCTGTATCACTTTTTGCAGTCTCCGCGCTTGAAACGCTGCTAGCCATTCCAACGAAGAGGTTTCGCGGACTGCCTTGGCTACTTAGCTGAAACGCAGTGATGGAAGTAAGTGAGATGGCGAGACCCTTAATGTACTTTTCGGTGACTGGAAAGATTCGGTAGGTATTATCGCGGCTGAGTGTGTGCAAAATTGCTTCGTCAGCGGGATCTGGCCAGAAGTCGACAATGGAGAGCGTGTGCCCCTGATTGTAGCGTTTGTTCGCGATGAAAGCATCGCCGCGGTAGCTCATTCGCACGTTGTCACGGAGGTGTTTGCGGCCAACGTCGATGACTTCGAAGCGGCAGTCGTCGCGGAGGATGTAGACGAGATCATTTGTCGGGTACAAGTAGCGGATTGGGTTGGTAGAGTCGACGAATGTGTTTTCGACTTGGGCCTCGCCCTTGCAGAAGTAGGCGGTGTTTGAAACACGGTCGATCACACAGGCCATGTCATTGCAGAAGGTGACCAAATAATCTTTCGTGAAGTGCGCTTTCCATGCGTTGTCGGTGGAGGGTGGGTCAACATAACGCAACACGAAAAAGAGATCTTCGTCGAAGGCTAGCTGAACGCGTTTCGCTTCGGCGGCAGCGGCTAGCTTAGAGACAAGTTTTTTCGCGCGGCCGAAGGCCTTTTTGGATTCGGTTTTTTTAGGCCGGCGCGCGTCGTCAGAGCTCTCATAATCGAGCATTTAGGCCGCCATTATTTTTGCGCAAATATTGAAGCTCGCAATTAAGAATGGCGACCGCCGAGCAGGAACTTGAGACGCAGTTCGGCCAGTTGACACAGCACTTGCAGAAGGCCATGAGCAGCGCGCAGACGTTATCGGCTTCTATCCTAGAGAACGAGGCGGTTGAAGAGGAATTGCAGCACTGCGGCGCAGACACGGTGCTTTACAAGCAGAACGGCGCGCTGCTACAGAAAGAGTCGCTCGAAGACTGCAAGGCGACGCTGCGCGATCGGCTGCGTTTCCTGCGCGAAGAATTAAAAATGCGGCTGGAGGAGAAGACAAAGCTTGAGACTGAGCTCGGAGAATTGTCCGCGCGGATGCAGGCCGCGGGGCGGAAGTAGTGAAAATAGCAATAATTCGGGCTGTGCGTCTAAATTTTGTAATTTCCTTTTCTTGATCTGAACGAAAATGCAGGACGACGTGCTAAGTCCTTACGTCATTGACAATGGCAGTGGCATGGTGAAGGCGGGCCAGGCGGGACTCGACGCGCCAACCAACGTGTTTCCCTCGATCGTCGGCCGCCCGCGCCACAACGAGATCATGGTTGGCATGAAGAAGCAGGAATATCTCGTCGGCGAAGAGGCGCAGAGTAAGCGTGGCATTTTGACTCTGCGCTACCCGATAGAGCACGGCGTGATCACCAACTGGGACGACATGGAAGTGCTTTGGCGCTACACCTTCAACAACGAGCTGCGCATCCAGCCGAGCGAGCACGCGGTGCTGCTTACCGAGGCGCCGCAGAACCCGAAGATCAATCGCGAGCTGATGGTTGAGAAAATGTTCCACTTGTTCCACGTGCCGGCAACCTATGTGAGCATCCAGGCGGTCCTGTCACTGTACGCCTCGGGCCGCACCACTGGCATAGTAATGGACAGTGGCGACGGCGTCACGCATACCGTTCCGATCTTTGAAGGCTACACGATTCCTCACGCGATTCTTCGCAAGAATATCGCGGGCCGCGACTTAACTGACTACTTGGTCACGCTCATGCAGGCGCGCGGCCACATGTTCACGACCACTGCCGAGAAGGAGATTGTGCGCGACATGAAGGAGAAGCTGTGCTACGTAGCGCAAGACTTCGAAGATGAGTGTCACCTTGCGGAGATTTCGAAGGAAATCGAGAAGCCCTACGAGTTGCCGGACGGCACGGTAATTACCGTTGCGCGTGAGCGCTTTGAAACGCCGGAGGTTCTTTTCAACCCCACGCTCATTGGAAGCGAAAATGGCGGCATCGATTACACTACCTATCAAAGCATCCAGAAGTGCGACGTCGACATTCGCCGCGATTTGTACAATAACGTATTGCTGTCTGGCGGTTCCACGATAATACAGGGTTTGTCGGACCGCTTGGAAAAACAAATAGGAAAACTGGCGCCGAGCACGATCGGCATAAAAATTATCGCACCGCCGGAGCGCAAGTTTTCCGTTTGGATTGGCGGCAGCATTTTGGCTTCGCTTTCGACGTTCCAACAAATGTGGATCACTGCAGAGGAGTTTGAAGAGAGTGGCGTCAGCGTCGTGCACCGCAAATGTATGTAAATGGCAAGCGCTATTTAATTTCGAAGAAATCGCGCTCAATGGATGACCTCTAGGCTGCGCTTTTCGAACTTGCCCGCCTACGTGGACGATGCGCAATTGCGTGCGCATGTGACACGGCTCTGTCCTGGCGTCGAGGTCACCGATGCGCGCGTGATTTACGCGGAGGGCAAATCGCGCGGTTTCGGCTTTGTCGGCCTGCTCTCCGCGGCGGACGCGGAGCGCGTCCTTGCGGTTTGTACAGACTCGTTCATCAACACGCGCAAGGTAGCGGTCGAACCCGCGGTGGAGCGCGGCACGCCGCTTGGCAAGCGAGTCTGGTCTAAGCGCAGCCAGCAGCGGCTGAACGCGCCCGCGCCGAACACGGAAGCAGACGCAGCTGCGATTGCAGAGATCAAGCGCAGCAAGGCGCTGTTGGTGCGCGGACTGCCGTTCTCGCTGACGGAGTCCGCGCTGCGCGCACAGTTTGCAGATTTCGGCACGGTCGCGGAGCTGCGGTTGTTTTACAACAAAGAAAACCATTTCAACGGCACCTGCGCGGTTACCTTCGTCGACGAGGCCGCTGCCGTGCTCTGCTTTGGACAGCTGCACGGTGCGACGCTGGGCGGCCGCGTGCTGACTCTAGCGCCGCACGCGGGGAGCGACGCAGCCGGCGACGCAGTGCGAGAAGCAGTGGGAACGCAGAGCGCTTCAAAGCGACGGTTGCTGGAGAAACACAAAGCCAAGGCAGCAGACGAGCGCAGCTACAACTTGCTGTTCGTCTCGCACTTTGCGTCGGTGGCCGCGGTAGCTGAGATGCTTGGCGTCGACGAGGCCGAGCTGCTGGATTTGCACACGAAGGACTCGCTCGCCGCGAAGGTTGCGGTCGCGGAGTCGATTGTACTGCGCAAAGTGCGCGAGTGGCTCGCGGAGAATCAGCTGAGCGAGGAACTTTTTGAGTTTCGAGGCAGCTCTCTGCTGAACACGCGGCTCGCAGAGCACGAGAAGTTTCGCAAGAGTGACAAAGTGCTCGTGCTCAAGCACCTGGGCCCCTGGGTGGACGAAGGCGAACTGCGCAAGCTGCTGGACCGCTACGGGCGGCTCGCTTTCTTCAAGCTTTGCCCAACAAAAACCGTCGCAGTCGCGGGCTTCGAGAATCCCGCATACTGCGCGAACGTGCTGAAACAGTTGCAGTTCTACTGCTACAAAGGCTACCCGCTGTACTTCGAGCCGGGTTACGACGCGTTCGATGAGCTCTTCGAGCGCGAGCAGGCGTCAGCGATGCCGGAGGCAGACCGAGACGTGCACGGAGAAGCGGCAGGCAACGCGCCCGCGGCTGAGAGCGGCGACGCGCCCGCGAAGGAGCTTGCGGCGGGGAACGCGCTGTACGTTTCGAACCTGAGTTTCGAAACAGGCGAAGAAGCGCTGCGATCGCAGTTTGCGCAGTTTCCGGGTTTCGTGAAGGCGGTGATTCTGCGCAGCAAGAAGCATGCAGGCTCGCTCGGCCACGGCTTCGTGACTTTTGACTCGCCGACGCACGCGGCAGAGGCGCTAAAGCGGTCGTTGAACAAGGTGCTCGACGGCCGCTGCCTGACGGTGCAGTTCGCGCGTTCCGACGCGCGCGCCGCAGTGCCGCGTGCGGCGGCGCAGCCGCTGCGCGAAGAGTGGCGGGGCGTGCAGACGCCACGCGCGGTCGTCAAGAACCTGGCGTTCGAAGTGAGCAAAAAGGACTTGCTCGAGTTGTTCCAGGCGTATGCTGCGGTGAAGAGTGTGCGCATTCCGAAGAAGGCGAGCGGCCGCTCACGCGGCTTCGCGTTCGTCGAGTTCCACTCGCTCGGTGCAATGTTTAAGGCGCT